CTGTGATTGATGTTCTCCACATGAATATCAAGTACACGACCCTCCAGTATATAAAGAAATAAAGAGGTGTCGATGAAATAATGACTAGTTTGCTTTATTTTTGTTTGAGCAAGTGTGGTACTCTTTTTCCTTCACCAGATTTTTCTCTTCTTGAATTTTTTGAAGGTAAGGTTTTAATGAGGCCACATTTATGCAGTGGTGTTGAGTTCCAGTATTTCTTTAATGTTGTATTTCGGTTCCTTATTGAACGTAAGCTTCTTTCTGATTTTAAAAATAAAAAAATGAATGACATTTAAAAAGGTATCTGATGTTTAAATTAGTATTTATGAATTTGATTATAGGTTATACACTAACACTGTTATATATGGTCATAAAGGGGAAAAAATAAACTAAAACGAACAATGACATTTGAAATTTGGGCTTATGATGACCTTACCAGGGATCTCTTTGACAACTCAAGTATGAATTACCATTATTTTTATTCAATTCGATGTATGCCTTAATAGGCTTACGTCTGTAAAAGAAAGCGAGGGCTTAAGCCAATACATCTCATCCGTTTGTTATGCGGAGAGACGTTCCATTTTGTAGAGCCAAAGACTATAGGAAAAAGATGTGGGAAGACTTTTACTGTACGATTTGGGCATGTAAATGAACACACAAAGAACACTGTCGGACCTACAGAGGCGAAAGGAGGTGCAGTTGCCTGAAAGTTGCCCCTCTGCTAAGTCTTCTGCTGCACTCCCCGACAAAAGGCCTCAGTGAACTCTTCCTTTAATGTTGTGCGCTGCGAGCATATAGCACTTCTCCTTTTGTTTTTGGTTTTTGTTTTTAACTCCTGATGTCGTTTTGGGCCGGAGAAAAAAAAGTATTGTGCACAGAAGAGAAGAAACTATCCAATGTCGGGGAAAAATGGTGTCTTTATTGTACACGGAAGAGAGGAAACTAAGGCCGGGGGGTGTATTCAATTGAGATTTTAATAGACTGTAATTACATGATTTTAATGATATAGATTTCAGCATGATTTGTAATTAAATGATTTTTCTTATGATTTTAATAGATTGTAATTACAAGATTTTACTTATGATTTTAATTCATGTAGGACTTTCTTGTATTCTCCAAAGTAGATTTCACCGAAGTGTGGATTGGATTCGGGTTAGCCATCTTTCATCCATTAGTTAAAGGATGCCAAGCCTTTAAAGAAGCAGAAAGTTGAAGTTACACCAATCTTAGCTCAAGTTGTCATTACTATCTGTCATGTATGGCTTTCTTCAAATCATCATCTTATTCTAGAGCTAAAACCATAGTGGTCCCAAAATTCAAACATAACTGTCATTAAACTAAAACCATACAGCTATTAAGTTTTGGATAGAGAACTTGGTCTGGAATTGAGAATAAATTCAAATAAGAAACTAGACAGCTGAAAACAAGTCAAAATGGTCTAGCTATGACATGATACTAGTACAGAACACTTGTCACTCAAATTGATTCCACAAATTGACTAAAGAAAGACAAATAAATCAAAGGAAATAAACGAGCTGAAAATCTATTGAGAAAAATGCACGCATATTGCATAATATGAACAACTATTGAAAGCAATGTATATGAAATTATTGTTTAGATATTTGAAGGTAAGCTATCTGAGTCTCCTTTTTTATTGGTCAAAGAGATTATCCATAAGATGAAAGCAAACAAACAGTATAGACATGAAGCCAAAAGAAAGGCGGGAAACACCTCATGCAACCAAACAGCCAAGAGAAAAAGAAAACAAGATAGACTAGAGAAAGCAAAGAAAACAAAGACAGCTATCTGAGTCTATCCACTAAATACAGAAGGATCGAGTCTGGTTAAACCAAGCCCTTGTCAAGACATGAGTACCTTGTTTATCTTCATTTGTTCATCTTCCCAAACACAAAAAAAGTGAGAATCAGGCATAGGAGGGTGGGATTTTTTTATGGGGTTTGGTATTTATATCACCCACTCAAAAGTCTAACACAATACACCATTTAATGAAATAACTCAAAATTGGTAAGTTTTTTAATACCACCGTACTTTTTCTTATCTTCTAAAGTTCCTAATTGAATACCACAAGACTTGAATTGATTATTTAAAAATCTTAATTGAATACCACCATTTTTTTTATTAATTACTTAAAAATCCTAATTGGATACCACTAGACTTTTAACCTCTCTTATTGCTATAAAAATATATGATGTTTGGAGAGATTTTTATGTTTGGAAAGATATGTCTCCACCACGTATTTTTGTTTTTTTTATTTTTCGAGAGAACTCCATCCAAGTCTTATAAAACATCTTAGCTATAAATAAATAAAAAGTCTTTGTAAAACATCAGATTTAGGTCCCCACGACCAAGTCTTTTTATTATTTTCTTATTTTTTGGGAGAGAATTCCAAGTCTTGATCAAGTCTTGTGCCAAAAAAGAAAATTATGGATCAATCTGTTTGGGCCAAAAGAAATCTCACGACCGGCCCACTTCTCAGAAAGGCCCATGAAACAAAAAGAATAAAAGAGCTGAGCTTCGAATTATCAAATCAGGAGTGAACCCACGTCTTTTTAAAAGTGGCAGAAATGTAAAAAATGCCAAAATAAATGGCAATTACATTTTAGGCAAATCAAAGAATTAGATTGGGCCAAAATCTATTACCATCTCTCTCAAAGGCCCAGGAGCAAATCAACAAATCTTTTTGAAGGAACTATTCTCAAGGGAGCCCACGAGAAGCCCACGTGACTATCTAAAAAAAAAAACTTTGAAAGTCAACAATATCAACTGAAAGTGATAAGAGAGCTAAAATTGGGACAGGTACAGAAAGATGACATCTCTGAAAAACTCTGCCAAAACAGAAGATCAATATATAGATATATATATATATTCAGATATATTTCTTCTACTCCAAAGAGGGTGATTCTCCCAAAAAGATAAGCAGGCTATGTTCTCAAAACAGAGATAAGCAGGAGAACAGAGAGTTATTCAAAACTGGAAAATCAAACTAACCATCACGATTTGAACTCTCACAAGGGGCAGTTGGGATTAGAAAGGGGTTAGGTTCTCTTTCAAAATACAAGGAAGAAATTGCCATAGGAGCTGGCCGTTGAAAGCCTATCTGCCAGAACTGATAAAATCCATTTTTCTTTGTATTTAAAATTAAGAGATCTTTTGAGAAATTTTTCCGCCCATTATTAAAAGAATTACCCTATTCCTAAGCATTTCTTATAAATATAAGAGGGAGTGAACATGGCAAAAAATCATCAATGAATGAAACAATCAAAAATCAACCAAAGGCAAAAACTCAAAATGTTCACTTGATCACTGAGAACCTTCAAAGCAAACTGAAGCAACCAAAAGCTCATTTGAGCCACAGAAGAAGCCAGCTATAGATCAAGAAACTTCCAGGTTCAGACTTAGAGAAATAAGTCATTCAAACGAGACTTCTCTCGTTACAAATTTGGTTCAGCAAAAGCCAAAACAAGCAGAGTTCGAGTTTTCACAAATATGAAAACCTCAATAAATTTATGGAGAGCCTTGACCAAACAGAACAGGTACCATAGTGCAGTTCCGGCTCAGTAACCCTCAAGTCCAACCAGTTCTGCCCCGTTCAGACCAAAGAAGTTGCAGTTCTGCCCTTTCAAAAAGCCTTCCAGGGCTCGAAATAGATTGAAGCTTTGTCAAAATCAAACTTTGGTATCGATTTACAACTAAAGCTTAGCAGTTGAAGCTGCTGACAGTTCAGTCCAACACAGACATACCCAGTCTCGCCCAGGCAGAAATGGAATTTCAGCCACCTTTTTGTCTTTCTAAAGTTGATTTTTCCCTATCTAGTTTTGTAAAAGGCAGTTCTGCCTGAAACAGTCCATTTTATTATCATTTATTCTGGCCAGAACTACCAATCTTGTATTGAGATAAATTGTAAAGTCCTCACCAGTCTGAGGCAAGAAAAGAACTTACTTGGGAGATATTCCTCATCCAAATTCATAATCGTTTGTTTAAGAAATCAGTAACTTGGGGCGTAAGTTATCTATTTTAAGAAGTCTGCTAGAATTGTTATTGCTAGCAGTGGCACGCTCGCACACTAAAGAAAGTTGACTTGTTGACCAGTTAATGGTTTTCAAGGCAATGAGGAACTTTACCTTACCATCACAGGAACAAAAACAAAACGGGTGAACAATTTGGCACGCTCAGTGGGACTTCTCAGTAAATGTATTCCTAAAGAAATTTTCTAAAAGTATATGAATGTTGGAAGTTCTAGCTAGAACCCACGCAACGTAATGGAAAGAGATCAAGCAGCTCTCCAAGAAGGACTGGAGTAAGAAGAAAGTGATGCTAGGCAATCAACCCATGGCAGTACCGGAAGTAGACGCTCCAGGGCCGGCTCCAGAAGGTTAAACCAAATGCAGGAAGCTGTATTCCGACAAGAGGCTACAACACAAATGAGCCAGGACACTCTGAATAACATGACAACCATGATGCAATGGTAAGTTAACAAGCAGTTCAGGAAGGATGTTGTGGTCCAGCAGCTAGACCTCCTTTATGGTCCTCCACCAAGATTGGCATGGCCATATCAGGAGAATCCCCTCATTGCACAGATAGCTGGAATGCCAATGCATGGAGAGATCCAGGCTGGACAGAGGGGAAGAGCCCTTCCTATCCAAGAACAGGAGGGTCCAGTTTGGCTAGAGGACCTTGCACCAGTTCAGGTCCAACAAAATTAGCCAGAACCTCCACCTATTCCACAAGCTATGGCTCCACGTGATCAGCCCCTGGCACTTCTGCCTGACGCACCAGCTGTGTTGCCTTACAGACCTAGAAGGATGGATCCCAATCCATTCCCTCTACCAGCAAGAGGCAGAAGAGGCAGAGGTGGAATCAACCCTTTTGCCAACAATGACAGGAACAGATCGGGGGCAAACTGGAGGAATCATCTGGACTTTCAAGAAGAGAAAGAGCACAGAGAGGAAGCTCTGCCCAGGCCATACAAGATGGACTAGATGCAGCCAGAACAGGGACGAAATCTGCACCCTGGCAATGCTTTAAATGACATGGGGGCACTACAGAGAATGATCAGGGAAATGATGGAGCCTGAAGCCAGAAGAGGAGAGAGGCCCACCTACAAAAATCCTTATCCAGCCTACATTGATCAGATACCTCTATCACCAAGTTTCGAGATCCCAAACTTCACTTTGTTCAACAGAGAGGACCCCCATGCTTCATCAGTTGAGCATATAGGCAGATTTTCTGTCCAGTGCATAGCCATAGAGAATAACCCTCTGTCAAAGCTAAGGCTTTTTGAAAATTCTCTCTCTGGACAAGCTTTCACCTGGTACACCAGTCTACCAGCCAACTCTGTCCAAACTTGGGAGCAGATGGAAAACGTTTTTCATGACTACTATTTCAGGATCCAGCTAGAAATCACCATCAGTGATCTTGCTTCCCTCAAACAGAGTGAAGATGAACCTGCTCAAGACTTCATAACCAAGTTCAGAAAACTCAAGATGAAATGCCGAATCCCTATGGAAGAAAGACACTTTATCCAGATGGGCCAAGCTGCCCTTAAAATCTCTATGAGAAAAAGATTTGATAGGATACTATTTGGAGACCTGGCAGAACTGGTAGATAAAGCATCTAAATATGAGGAGCTGCTTAGGGAAGAACAACATAAGAGGAACGCTTCCAAAGGCACGTACTACAAGACTCCTTCCTCTTCAGTCCATCTGGTTGAGGTAGAATCAGAAGAAGATACAGAAGCCTCAAAGAGAAGAGGAATTGCAGTAGCAGAGATGGCAAAATTGAAGCATCCCATAAGTTGTAAGGCTCTTACAAAGCCACCAAAGGACCAAAAACCGCCACCATTCATAGGAGGATTTGTTCCAAACAAACCAACACAGAACAAGGTCTATTCCTTTGATTTGACGAAGGTGGATGCTTTGTTTGATGAAATGCTACTACAAAAGGCAATAGAGACCCCTCACTGGTTGCCCAAGCCAGAAGAACTCAAGGGCAGACAACATTGCAGGTGGCACAACTCTTGGAACCATTCCACCAATAGTTGTGTTGTTTTCAGGGATGTCATATAGGAGGAAATAATAGCAGGAAGGCTAAAACTGGCAGAGAAACCTCCATCAGTTACAACAGACCCTTTTCCCTAGCCGCAAGTCAACATGGTCAACCTAAATTGGCCAGAACAGAAGAAAAGCAAACCAATGACAAAAGCTAGTTCCAGCAGAGACAGAAGAGTTTTGAGGGAGACTAGTTAAAGGCCAAAGGCAACCATCTCGGCTGGGGTAATGCTTTGCAGCAAGTGCAAGTGTGAAACTGAGCTAAAAGTAATTATGGATAAGCAGAATCAGCCAACACTTAGTGTTTTTGACAGGATTGGAACATCATACCAACAAGCCCCTGTTCCAGCCCTATCTAAAGATAGAACCAGACAGAAGGATTACCTAAGACCCACCCAACATAGCAGAAGAAAGATGGAGTAGCCCAAGAAGGAAATACCAATTAAGATGCCTAGGAATGAAAAGCCCTTGGCAACTATCATAAAAGGCAGATGGTATTCTGTGGGGAAAAGTGGTAGACCAACTTTGGAGTTAACTAGAACTCAGAAAAGGAGGGTTCAAAGGCTGTACTGCACATTCTTAAAAAAACCAGGGTGATATACACGCACTTCCAGAGACCAGTTTTGCCAGAAAAGGGAAGAATCCGGAAGTACTATCTCAGACAGAACGAATAACCTGCCAGCCGCAAAAGCTGTTAAAAACAGAATCTCCAAGCAGATCCTCTATCCATCTTGCCTCATCCTCAGTCAATCAGCTTGAGCCTTCACAAGCACAAGGTGAATCCGAACCTATTCCAGTGGAAGAACAAGAAGACTGGACTGAAGAGTATAAAGAGGAGTAGCTGGACTATGAACCATCTGCAGAGGACTAGAACGGACTCCTCGAGACAGGAGAACAGGGAGACTGGACAGAAGAATATAGGGAAGAACAGATGGAGTATGATGGAGAACTAGATGAAGAAACTGGGGCTTTTGGTGCAGAATTAGAGAGCCTGTTGCAGGGTGATCTGGGCATCAACATGGTCTTCATCTTGCCAGAAGAATTTAGGGCAGCAGAAGGGCAAGAAAACACTCTGGAAGGAGATGTTTTCTCCCAGGAAAGCTTTGAGTGCAGGTTGGCAGAAGTAGAAGAGGCACCAGAACAGCAAGCCCCTACTGCCAAGACAGGTGGAACTGCCATGAAACTGACTGCAAAACAGCTTTGCTTCTCCAAACCAACCAAGGAGATGGCCAATCACCTCAGACCTTTGTTCATAACAGCAAACTTTGGGGGTATTCCTATTCCCAAGGTCATGGTGGATGGAGGTGCAACCATTAATCTTTTACCCCATAGATTGTTGAGCCAGATGGGCAGAACAGAGAAGGATTTAATTCCAACACATTTAACTGTCACCAATTTTGCTAGGGGCATCACCAAGACTCGTGGAATCCTGGATGTGGATGTCGTAGTTGGAACCAAGGAATTGAAGATTGCATTCTTTGTGGTAGATACTACTTCTACCACTTACAATGCATTGCTTGGCAGGGACTGGATTCACCAGAGCTTATGTATTCCTTCCACTCTACATCAACAATTAGCCCTTTGGAATGAAGAAGGTTACATGGAGATAGTAGAGGCCGATCCACGGCCATTTCTGCCCTCTGCCATGTGTTTTGAGGCAAGGTATTATCATGATGACATTGATCCTTTCACCTTCCTTGGAGTCAGCCAGAACGGCCGACCCCATGGTGTCACGGCCCAGAAACTCATTGAAGATGGTTTAGCCAGTTCTCTAGAAGATTGGAATAGACCTTTTGTTATGAACCTCCAGAACTCTGATGTTTAGCCCCAATTAACAAGAGAAGGATCGAGCTGCAACAATCCGATCCATTACAAAAAGATTATTGATATATTGGGAAGAAAGGAAGCTCTCTATACAGGATCCAGAGATCAATATGGCAGAATTCACCCATGAGAGCACTGAAGAGCAGGAAGAGAGTTTGCAGGAGGAAGTACTAGATGATTCTTTACCAGAAGTGGAAGATCCATTGCAGGAGATAAACTTTGGGACATAAGAAGATCCTAGACCCACTTTCATTAGTGCATTGTTGGAAGAGCCACTCAAGACTGAAATCATTACACTTTTGCATGATTTTAGAGACTGTTTTGCTTGGCATTATCATGAGATGCCTGGATTAGACAAAAAGCTGGTGGAGCACAAGCTGCCAATTAAAGAGGGTTACCTACCAGTTAAACAGGCCAGAAGAAGAATGTCTATGGACACAGAACTGAAGGTTAAGGAAGAAATAGAAAGATTGCTCAAAGCAGGATTCATTAGACCAGCCATTTATGTTGATTGGCTAGCCAATATTGTACCAGTTCTGAAAAGAAAAACAGGGGTAGTTAGAATCTGTGTGGATTACAGGAATCTAAATGAAGCATCTCCCAAGGATGAATATCCTATGCCAATGGCAGATATGCTAGTAGATGGAGCTGCTCATAACCAAATGCTATCTTTCATGGATGGCAATGCAGGATATAACCAGATTATGGTGGCAGAAGAAGACATACACAAGAGGGTGATTCTCCCAAAAGAGGGTGATTCTCCCAAAAAGATAAGCAGGCTATGTTCTCAAAACAGAGATAAGTAAGAGAACAGGGAGTTGTTCAAAACTGGAAAATCAAACTAACCATCACGATTTGTGCTCTCACAAGGGGCAGTTGGGATTAGAAAGGGGTTAGAAAGGGGTTAGGTTCTTGTTGGTAATTTTTAACAACAATATTTAAACCTTGCAAGTGCACATATCAAATGATAGTATAGTAAGCAAGCAAAGGTCATTCCCACAGAGATTGTAATCTAGAGAGATGTTTATCAATGTCACACAACGAAAACACAAGGACTTTCACACACACGCCAACACCAAGGGGGGTTTTGATTTGATTTTGTGAATAAAACAAAATAAGGAAAACAAAACAAAACAGAATTTAAATTAGAGTTTAAGAGAAATTGGTTTATAATCAATCAAGAACAATAGCTAGGACTCACTATCCACCTCTAACCAATCAATCAATCATAAACAACAATAGATAATCAATTTCTAGCAAGCATATGATGACGACACTCACAACAAGATCATGGCATTTAACTCGAGTTGTATGATTCTCTCTTAAGTGCATGTAAAGTGTATGGCATTTATATCAATACGTGTTGATGTAGAATAAATGGCTGAATGAATTGAAGAAGAACTGGAGCGAAGAAGTGAAAAAGGACGTAGCAGGAATTTACAAATTTGGCCTTCCAGCTCCGATGGGGTCGCATAATACATTCTCAAAAAGGGAACGACGCCATGAGTCCAACTCACTACTATGCTGTGACATATGGTGGATTTTGGACTTCTGAAGTCCTTTGGCCTTCCAAAAGTGCATTTAAAAATACTATTCAATTTACAGACTTTTTGTCTCTTTTCTGTTACTTTATCAATAACCCCCCCAGGGCAATCCAATGGGTGAGAACGTAGTATTCAATTTACAGACTTTTCGTTTCTTGTCTATTACGTTTTCAATAACTCCCCAGGTGGATTCCAGAATAATTGTTCTTTAGGATTTTGGCTTGAAAATCTATTTGCTTGTGCTGCGTCAAGTGGTATCAGAGCGGGTCTCTCCCATCTCGATATTATTGGCTTATCATGGCTGATCGTGAAATTGCTGTCCCAATTACTCGAGCAGATTTGGATGCTCAGAATGTACGAATTGACAATTTAGCCAATCAACTTGGGGAGATGCATGAGTTGTTGTTACAAGCTATTGGTGACAACAATGGAAGATAAGATAGAAATTGTTTGGGCCAAAAATTGACACACCCAGCCCAAACGTAACGTGGAAAATTCAGGAAGGCTTCCGTTCTTCACATTCACGTAACATGTACGAAACTGTCTTGTCTGCACGGGGGCTAACTTTACTTGTAATACTGTACCAATTGGCTTGGTACAAAATTCTAGAAAAATCACAGATTAAACTTCAAGATGTTAGCTTTCATCTCCAATTGGCCTTGCACTGAAATTCCTCCAAAAAGTTGATTTTTCCTTAAACACCTTCTAAGAGCGCAGAAAAGCTGAAAATCAGAAAAGTAAAGTAATAAGCCCTTTTTAAATCTAATTCTCCTACAAAACCTAAGTAAAAAGAGTACATAAATGAGTATATTTATGGACTTATCAAAATACCCACAACTTAGATTTTTCTAGTTCTCGAGCAAAACAAAACGGAAAATAAAAACAAAAAAACGACTCAAAACAAACAAACAACTAAATTCCCAATATTGATATCAGAGATAATCATCAACGGTTAACTTACTTCCAAGAAATAAGCAACATTAACTCAAGACATTATCAAAGGGTTAACCAAACTTTAATTGAACAACTTGGAGTGTTGTGTGTGAAATAGCCAACATTAATATAACCACGACTTAAGCTTCACAAAAGTTAAATAACCAAATAAGAACAAGCTTTAACTTCAATTCTCACCAAGGATGTTCACTCCAATGAAAACACTCGAAATTTGACTAGGTAATGTCACTCATGTATGTGAGAAGAATCAAAGCAATAGGATGTACTCACATAATTGAAATAAAAGCACAATACATGAATAAAAGATCTCATGGGAAGATATCGCATACTTAAAAATATTTAAACCATCCGACCATAGTCCTTCCACACCTATTCTCCACATGAGGAACCACACTTCTCCTTGGATCAAGTAGGACTTTCACTAAGGTTGAAATAGGGCTTAGGGCTTAGGGTGAAACAAGAAAAAGATATGGATGAACAAACGAAGTCTAAGGGCTAAGTAAAGCTTTCCATGAAATTATAACATCTTGCATTTTAGCACACAATTTTATCTTGACACTGTCTGAAATATTTTTTTTATTTTTTATTTTTTCACTTTTTTTTTCTAACTCCATTAGCTTTCTAATCAACCCATGTAACAAGTGTTAGTCCAATAACTCCCAAGCTAGATAGCTTTAGGGTATTAAGTGTAAAACA